CCCCCCCCCCTACACCCCCTTTCCTCGCATCATTGTCCTGCACTCGCGTGGACACTTCTGTCGGCCAGATCGGCCCTGTTGCCTCGGTCGGATCGTATTGCGCCGTCGGTCTTGTGCACGCGAACACCGGCCCTCGGGCTTGTTTCCGGCGCAGCACATACGGCCCTTTTGTACACATGCCCTCCGTCATGCCCCCCCCCATGGCCGGCATCGCTCCGGGCCGCCGGCCCCGCCCCCGCCCCCGCCCCTGCTCCGGTCCCTGGCCAGTAGTCAGGCGGCCCGGACCCGATGCGATCTCAGGAAGATCCGCCCTTCCGCCCTTCACTGGCCCTCTTTTCCGCATCCCAGTCTCGAGCTCCTCGCACTCCCGGTTCGCTCTCAGGGCATGCGCGAATCGCGAGGCGACAGATGCGGCCTGCCGAGGGCGTGCTATTGCTCCGTGTGGCCCAGGTCAAGGGCCCCGCGCTGCTGCACATGCACGGGCACGCTGCCTGTTCGCCTCGATTTCAAGGCTATTTTTCCGGCCCCTCAATCCACCCCCCTTCCCGGGATCGAGGCTGGGTTGTGAGCTGACGGCCGTCTTGGCGCCTGGGTCGGTCTGACGGCCGCGTGCACGCATGCCCCCCCGCCCCCCCCCCCTCTCTCTCTCTCTCTCCCGGCCGCGCTGCTCCCCATCATTCGCTCTATCCTCAAATGGCTGTCCCATCTTGTCTGCCTTCCTTCCGCCTCCTTCCCTCCTCCCCCTTCCCCCTCCTGCCCTGCTTCCCTGCACGCGCTTCCTTCCCCCTTCCCTTCCCACACCTTTTCCCGGTTCCACTGTAAATACTCCCTCCCAGCCGCGGCTCACCAACACAAGTCGAGCCTCCTCCCCCCTCACTCCCCGCCATCCCCATCCCCATCCCATCCCCATCCCATCCCCATCCATCCATCCACATGCGAGCCTCATATCACCACTCTTTTCCAACGCACACCCCCTTGATGATCCCACCCGCCTGGTGCCCACGAAGCTGACACATTCTCTTCTCGCTTTCCGTTCCAGTCTGGCCAGCATTTGCACTCTCCCCCCCCCCCCCCCCAGGCCATATCCTTCTGACCTGCGACGCCTGCCCTCGCGCGCCCCCTTCCACCCGGTACGATCGCCCTTCCGACTGTCGCCTCCGTCGGCTCTGTCACCACCGTCACCCTCGCCACAGCGATGCCCCATACGGGCCCCTACATTGATGCCCGAAACCCACACCTCCTCCACGCCGCCGCATCCGCCCACACACCTGCCCACCTGACTGTCGACATTTCTCATCCACCCCCTGGGGCTGCCCGGGCGGCTTGACATCCCAAGACTCGTGGTCAATGGGCCCATTGCGCTAGCGATCCAATCCAAAGCGGAGTTCTCCCCTCCTCTTTCCCCCTCGCCCGGCTTTGTCGCAACGCCCTGTGACCCGGCCGTGTGCGTGCCCATCCCGTCACCTGGTCCCTGCCTCCCGGGACCGTGCCTCGCCAGGCCCCTGTCGGCCGCGCTTCTCTTCCGGGATTCTCTGTGGCGGTGGTCACGCTCGGGTTTCCTCCTT